GTGGCAGCTTTGGGGGCCTGGGTAGGAGCTTGGCCGATGGCAACGGTGACGTGGGTCCTAGCTGGACCAGTGGAGGTGTCCTGCTGTTAAGAGATGTTTGTGTGCATTGCGTCTCAGTCTAGTTTCAAGCGGTGTCGGAAGAGCAACACTGGGGACCGGCCTCAAAAATTGACCGGGCGTGTACGGACGCATCCAGGAAGACATTTGATGTTCTGAATGCAATGCCGGCTGAGACCATCCGGCATAAAGATTGTTGCAATTTCTAGAGGAATTCCGACAGAAATTCCAGTGGTATAGAGAGGTCGGTCAGTCGGGACCCACTGGACCTCGTCGGAGGCGTTGCAGGCGGCGGTAAGAGCGATGCCAACGTCGTGGTAGTGTAAATCACGGGAAGCCACCCCGCACCTGCATCGCCATGCAGGCTGAAAGCACACTGTCTCTCCGCCCACCAGGCAGAACGGAGCCTAGTCAGCATGCAACATGGTCGGAATGTTATCGCAAATGATGTGGATTCATTGCTGGATATGCCACGATTATCCCAGTTGATATCTGTCCATTAGCTGCGGATTTTTCGGTCCCATTATGAGCTGCTTTCTTCAGGAGTATTGGATGCTATCGCAGCCATCGCCTGGTGACCACTGATGCCATCATTGAGCCCCCCGACTGTTGACCAGATCATCGTCCCCGGCAGGCCGACGGTGATGTGGTCGGTTGTGCTTGTTGATGGCCATACGCGCAGGGGTGTGTCAACTGGTTGGTAAAGCTGCAGTTTGCGAAGGACTTCCTTGACTCCATGCACGTCATGACCAGCAACGTTCATAGCTGCATCATCATGCACGATGACAGCTTTTCCCGGCGATTTCACTTCACGAAGCGCCCGTCTAGATATCCAGAGTGGGTCAGGCGGCCGGTAGATGGCCCCCACGGCCGCCGGCCGCCGAGCCTCGGTAGGCCCTTGACTCAGACAGGCTTCCGACGGCGAGTCACTGTTCGGCAAGAGGCCCGGATCGGCGCTCTGTGTCCTCTTGAGCGTTATATCGGCTCCGCTTCCGCACAACAGCGCACTTACCGCGCTTCTTCTGTGCTAGTTCGACTGGAGAACTAATGCACTGCAGCAGTGCTAGTGATGCCGCTACTGAACTGCCAGCACTGCGTCTCGCGGGGCAAAGCGGGCGAACTGCATAACAGGGCGCTGAAAACATAGGCAATCCCCTTGACAGGCGCTGATCCAGGAATTCGTCATGGGAGGGGCCACGCTTCACTGATGCTTGGAATTTGGTGCAATCGCAATGGTTCACGTGACACCGCACGACGCAGATATTGAAATAGATACAACAGTAGTACTAGCCTTAGTCCACGGAGAAAAAAACAGGGGAGTGGAGATATAGTTGGGATATAGAACCCAACTAAATCTCCATTCTCCTGCATTTTTCTCAGAGGAATAAGGCTTACACTACTGTCTTACCTATGGGAATAATGTTCCTCGCTAACGCACCGAACAAAAAATATTGAAATGCTTGTGAATGCTGTGACGAAGCCAGTGAAATTGGCGGCGGCGATAAAGTGGCGAAGCCAGTGAAATTCGCAGACTTTCGGCACGATTTTCGTTCTGGTGGTAAACAAATGGCCATTTCGGTGGAATGTGTAGCTTGTTTTGTGTCCCTACTATGCGGATCTTGTGCTGCATGCTTTGGACATCACGAAGGAGCACGGAAATTGCTCAAATTTGAACAGAAAAATGTGACCACGACGTTGCATAAGTAGTATGGGCTCCACAGATTGAAAAACCGAGGGTTGTAGGTGTACTGAACCGCTGGCTCGGATGCGAACATCCATCGGAATACACGGCTGCTGTTGTCTGCGGCCAGACTGCCAAGAGTCACCATCGCGTGCTAGCGGCACGAGACGATCTCTCAGACTTCTTGCATCCATGTTTATTTGGTTACGCCAGTAACCAACCAAACATGTCAAGGGAGGGGCACACACAGTTTTGTTGAAGTAATTACAAATTTTCACTGTTGCTGTTCTCAAAGATATTTAGGACGCACCACGTTTCGCACATCTCAAAAAGGTGGCTTAAATTACCGGCTATACATACACATGGGTTGCTTGTTCAGATATGTATCCGCCAGCTATTTAAGTATAAAACATAATTATCAGCCCGTTGAATAAGAATCAGCCCGTTGAATTTTCACCTAAGTGGTGAAAAGGCAGTATGGAATCCTATCCCCAAATGATCCCAAAAGTGTTTCGCTGGATACAGCCCACTTTATTTCGAGATCAGTTCTTTCCCTTTTTATGTTGATTTTCCCTGACTGAACAAAATGCCAGAAGCTATCAAAAGACAAAATTCTGCAAATATTTAGACGCAAATAAAGAAAATCAGCCAGGAAATAAATCACTTTACCGAGTGAAACGCGGGCGCTGTTAACTTTAGTGTTTTATTCGGCCCCATTTATAAAGCAGTCAAGGGCGTTCATGGTTTTCCTCGGCGTTTCACGCACGTTTTGGGGGCCGTGGGTTGAATGCCAGCGTGGATCGAAACAGGGTAAAACATTTGCATTGATATTTCCAACTCGCGTTCACCTAAGGAAGTTCGTTACCTCCTTAGAGCCCAGCAGCGAGAAATGACATGAAATAGTTTAAGCATGCACTCTTGTGTCTCAAATCCTATGCAGTCAAGGATGAATAGCCCGGATGCCCGGCGTTACAGTCTACATGAGCCACACGGCATCGGCCCCGCGGACAACCTGGTCGGGAGCAGAAGGCCCGGATGCCCGGCGTTACAGTCTACATGAGCCACACGGCATCGGCCCCGCGGACAACCTGGTCGGGAGCAGAAGGCCCGGATGCCCGGCGTTACAGTCTACATGAGCCACACGGCATCGGCCCCGCGGACAACCTGGTCGGGAGCAGAAGGCCCCCTCCATCTCAGCCCCGGGGTCCCTAGTGCCGTCATTCTGGCGATCCGGGGACCAGAGCCCCCTGGCCGATGCGGAGGCCCTCGAAGAGATGCATTATACACCTCGCCGGTCCCACTCCTGATGCGGCAGGCCCTCCGACCGAGGTATCTAACACCAGACCAGCGATGGACCCTCCCTGACGCAAAGGAATCTCTTACTGGCGCAAGGAGTCTAATAATGGACACAGAGACACCAATTTGGCTTAGCAGCCCCTGCCTGAAACGGCCCGGAGGGACCTCGTTCGGTACCGGGGCCTCTGAATGAAGTAGGACCTTTCACATCTCATGATGAAGACAACACTTGCATCGTCATTTCTCATATCTCCTTGAATTGTCCAGATAGCTTCCCAACGTAAGAGCCCCTTTGACATTCGTGTTCCCGTAGCTGTCTATGTTCAGGAAATGTGCCCTTGCCCGACTTAGGACCCACTGCAGATGCAGGGTCCCTGTGTGTGCCCCTTGGCAGCATATGAGCTCCTCACTGTTCCAGGGGGCCCGAACAATGCAAGGGGCCTTATGACTGACATTTGCGGGCGCCGGCCTTGCCCTTGCGTGGGAAAGGAGCCTCCAGGTCTCAGACCGACATGTAGACGAATGTTCGACATTGCTGGTCTAAGTCGGCTGGCTGACCGGGCCGGTCAGCCGGATAACGTGGGAACAAAGCCGTAAGCCTGCGAAAAGCGGTATGTAAAGATGGGGCGGGTCGTTCATCAAAATAGAGATCCTTTGATATCCTACTACCTGCAACTTTCCGTTTCCGTACCGTACGTAACAACTACCAACAACAGCGATTCCGTATTTCCAGGACACTAACTACTTTGTTGTTCAGTGATAGACACTTGATGCCATGTAAAAGAGCTATCCCATCCTAAATTGATGGCATCCCATGCTAAGCTCTCGACGTAGCGGAATGATGATTGGTAATGATTTGGCATGCAGTCCGACTGCCGTGATCCAAAGTCTTTAATTCCGATGTAGACACTAAGAGTCTTTTCGCCCTGCGTTTGCTTCTCAAAATAGCGTGACGAGCCTATGTGAGCCTGGCTTAACCCGTATAACCTCATCGCAGGCGTCATCCGCCGATGAAGGGTCAACATGTGGATGACCTGGGAGGCGAAGTGCCAGCGGCTTCCTAACATGGTAAATTGCTTTCTAGTGACGTCATAGTAATGTGGTTTTTTAAATAAACATAGTGTAAAACACCACCTTAAATCCGATGACACGGTTTGACGACTATGTAACATCCGCAACCATGCCCAATTCCTTGCATCCTGTTCGGATTATCGAGGACCATTTCACGCCGCTTTCAGCCCAGCTCCACATAATGTTGTCATTCTGTTTATACCTTAGGTGGCTGGTGAAGTTTAGAGGGTCACGCGTACAATGGATGTGGAAAACGCCGACGATCCCGGCGCCTGATTAGCCAACGTAGACAACACGCACCTCGGGTTCTTTAGGCGAACGCGCAACAGCACACTGCGATGTCATCTCGTCAAGCTATCGAAGTTATAATTTTTCACGCAAAACGTAGAGCAAACTGCGTAGACTCGTAACGTAGACTCAAAATGTTCTTATTAACGAAAACAAGGCTGCATAACATGAAAAATTGTTATTGTGCCTTGGATTAAAACACTGCCACCGATGGAATACTGGCATGCGCTGCCCGCATCCCATGTAAACCCCATGTATGATAAGATGAAAACGGAAAACAGCTAACATGAACACTTTGGGAAATAACTGTAAAGAGAAGAAAGATACCAAATGAACAGGGGGAAGATGGAAAATTTTATGTTTTTTTTCTAAAGATTGAGTTTCTGATTATTTTGACAGTTTATTAAGTTTCTTATTATTAAGTTATTTTGACAATTCTACAACACCGTCGGCAAATGCGCTGGGCTCAGGATTGGGCGCTGAACTCCGTTAGTTGTCGGCTGGCTGGCTCGCCCTAGACCCTGATTTACCGGCACGAACGCTCCTCATGCGAGCGGGCGTTTCCAGGCCGTCTCCACTCGAAAGCGACGCCTGAGGAGTGCTGGGCGTGCCGCCGGACCGTTAGACGGGCCCACGAGCTGCCGGTCGACCGACCGGGACAGTGCGCGGCCGGCCGAGCGGGGGGACGGCGACGCGGAGACTCGCCGGCCTGAGTTGCGGTGCCGGCGGACGCCAGCCGCTATGGCCCTCGTGGCGTGGGTAAGTGCTGGACGCGCTGCGGGGTCCACTCCAAGCTCATTTCCGGATGCTCATTGAGCCCGTAGCCGTCACGACAGCATTTTGCGACAGTCAGAAATGGGATGTTCCACCCGTCTTGTCACATAAATATGTCATATATCCCGTTCGTTAGCGGAGGTTCGATGTCATATATCCCGACCATGCGACGTAAAGATGAGATTTCCTCAAACCATATCCAAAAGCATATACACTCACTGCTGTAGGAACTGCTATAGGTACTCACTGCTACTGCTATAGGAGAGCAGTTGCTCTGTCTAGAAGGTCTCCTGACTTCGCCCTACCAGCATGCCCCCAACCCCAAGTTTTATGTGGTATTTTTCCCCGACCGACCAGAAAATACTGCTTCCAGACAGGAGATATCCCATACAGGTCTAAAACTCCTTTAAAATATTCGGTCTTTCGAAGGTCTAACATGCATTGCTCATGCATTCGGCTACAACGCCCCGGACCAACTGTTGCGGGTATCGCCACCGCCCACCCACCTCTCACTCATGTCCATGTCCATGCTGTGGCCGGAGCTTTACACACCTGCAGGGTAAAAAACTACTAACAAAATGAAGGATGCTAAATCCATCACGAAGGGGAAGAGAGCAGCTTTCCAGGGCTCTCATTCAAACACTGATGCTCTCGCTGCACCCAATCTTTTATCAATCAATCGATCACTCGTTCTCAACATTACGTCTCGCATGAATGGATACGCCTCCTCAGTAATTATGAGGGAACCCAAATGTGTAAAATGAACGTAAGCAAGCTATTGGGACCACGCAGCATTTTAATACAATATCCGTACAATCTATTCAAAAGTTTCGTACCACCGTTTTTGCTCGTGTTAGCTGACACAAGCATTACAGCATTGCTATGTAGTGGTGCTAACTGTGGAGATCATGCAGGACAGCCACGTGCAATGCATTAAAACATTGCCCTGAAATAGTGCGAGTTGTGGAGATCATGTAGGACAGCCACACGCCAGGTCCTGACAGCCAGCACCTACATCACAGCCGTCAATTTACCACAAAAATCTAGCTGTGTGAAGGCAAAATGTTGGTGCGCGTACATTCCAAAGTCGTGTTTTCCATGGATCGACCAATGCAGGGAGCAGCGCCCATATCACATGTAGACATGATATCATATATGCGTCAGAAGTCCACGATGGCAAGAATAGGAAGATCATCATCGGCTTACACATAAATCACTGGCAATTATTTAAAGAAGATGGTACTAAAAATCCCAGCGATGAAGGAATGAGTTGCGATTTCTCGACCGCACGTTAATGGAACATTCATCAGTTAACAGTACCGGAGGTTGAGACCCTCAAGCCATGGGAGGCCATGCAGCTGCAGACAGATCCGCCAGGCGGAGCGATGACCAGCCTTCTGGCAGAGTCAGCACATGGTCAGAGCCGCGGCTGGAGTACACAACCGAGCCCGATCAAGTCACGTTGAGAGCCGCTGCTTCTTTGTCCGAGCGCAACGTGTTGTGCTTCATTGCTCACTGCCCTTACAAAAGCTCCCATTTCGCCCTCGGTCGTTGTGTGCCATCACGTGACCCGTTCCCGACTCAGCCTGCTACCATCCGTTAGGCCGGAATGGTGACCTAGATATGTCGATATTAACACGCGCTCGGATGTGGGTCAATTTACCACCCCGTAGGATTTTCCGCAATGGCTTCCGAACGACGCGGCGTAGCCGCCCCAGATATTGCACATCTGTAGATAATTGAATAGCAAATCGTTTAATGCATTTTTTTGGATGTAACTTATGAGGGCACTAACCTACATTAAGTCCAAGCCAGGCCATGGATTTAGCGAAGTCAATTTCAAGCAAATAGCTCAATCTGATGCAACAATGAAGAGTTAGACGGACCTACACATCTGTGAGATACTTTCTCAGGAAACACAACAATTGAATGAGCAAGTTCCATTGACCTAGCGTCAGGTATAAAAGTCCCACCAAGGCCAAAGTCAACCTGCTTACTTACTCTAGAGCTTGCTGTTTGGGATAGTTCCTGGTGCTCATTTCGAATTTTTTGACAACAGAAACCGCAGTATATGTCTACCAGACTTCTTAAAAGTCGTGATAAGTCACTAACCTAAAACGACCCAGGTCAACGTTTTGCTTCTAGGAGCATACTGCTTAGCGTTATTTTTGTTGGTTATTCAGACACAAAACTCAATGCAGTCCCGTATAATTTTGGTCACCATAACCTCCAGAAGGTCAAAAAAGGTCACTGACCTTGAACAGACATTTTACCTTTTACTTAGAACAGGTATCTAGGTCCTGCGGCACTAAGGAGACCAATCTGCAGTATAGCTTTGACCTTGTTTGACCCGAAGGAAACGATCTAAGGACCTTAAACTTTGTCCTAAGTGAGTTCACATATAGGCCCACGCACCCTGTGAATTTGGTGTTTCTAGCTTTCTTAGTTCCTGAAATCTAAGGAAAGGGGTTCAAATTGGCCCCCGCCCGAGCGAAGGGTGTCCGACCGGTCACCCGGGCCCGCGTTAATGCAACCACCGAATACTTAATCGACCGACCGGTTATAGTGCCGTTATATTGATATCGAGAAACCCAGGGTATGATTCCAACTAGGAGCCGAGAGTTATTAAGCAGCTTCCAACATTTTCCCCATGGTAAGACGACGCTGATTCAAGTGATAACACAGAAGTGATAGCCTTATTCCTCGCAAAAAAAAAAAAACAGGTGAATGGAGGCACAGATGCGTTGATATCTCGACAGCATGCCTTTATCGAAACGGAATAGGTTATAGACTGCGATATATGATTATGCCAAACAGATATATGACAATGACATGTAGATTCGTTTCGATAAAGACATGGTGCCGAAATTACAACACGTCTGCATCTCCATTCTCCTGGTTTTTCTACGAGGAATAAGCCCATTACTACTATGTTATGGGGGGATGTGACAAGGAGCAATTGCAAGCCATTACAACGACATAGTGCATATCTAATTAAGAATTAAAATGCGCAGGAAATACGTGCACATGTGCACGAATTCAAGATAGCAGGCATCACGCATCACGCACCATTCATACATGCAAGCGATTCAATGAAATAGGCATCGCACATCATGCATCACTTCTACATGCCTCAATAAGGCCGAGTATGCAAATGTGATTAGTGCCTCGATGTGCCAGCTCAAAATATTAAAACAGCGTATGGGTGATGCCTGACGCGTGATACGCGACGCATGCTTCATTGAAATCGTTTGCATGTTTAAGTCGCGCGGACATGGCGGATTACGCATCAGGCATCCCCCATACACGTGAGCGATCTTAGGCTGGCACGCATCACACATCGATGCACTTATCACATTCACATAATAGGCCATGACGAGCCCTGTACGTTAAGATCTGGTCGCCAACTGTGGATAAAAATTCACTATGTTCCTGTCTGGGTGGTTCTGTGCTCTGCGGATGGCTTGGAGCTCGAAAGGGGCATAGGGTCCGCACCCCCCTGATTTTCAGTCTGAGCGTGTGTCGTCAAAAAAGGTCGTCGAAAAGAGCATTCTCTGCTTCGTGTTTTGGCGTCTCGCACAAGTTAATCATTTCTCAAACGAATAGGCCTCATGGACTACACGACATAGACTACGCTCCCTGCATGTTTTTCACAAAGGTTACACAAATTTTCGTGAACCACGTTTTTGCATACAAATATATATAGATGAAAGCAATGCTCTTGGGCTATGAAAAGAGGATAGCTGTAGTCTCTTAAAACAGTGGCTCCTGGGTAATGTTTTGTCATTCGGACACGACTACTATCGACAAAAAATTGGACTTAGCAAAAGGGGAACCTATGCGCTCCTTCTGTGGCGACAATAATTTATAACCAATTTGAAACGAAGGCCCTGGCCGTCACCCCGTTACAACCGACTTTCTTAGCTAGATGCATCGGTGCTGGAAAATCGACGCACGGACAGCGTGCCCTTGAAGAAATCTTAGAGTTCATGAACAACCAGCATTGCAATGAAGTCTTTGCGATGGAATATGCGGGAAAGGAAGGGGTCCCATATTTACATACCCTAGTGAGAGGAGGAACAACCGCACAACGTTAGAAACGGAGCTTTTTATCAAGCCCACCAACTCCGGCATGATTCTGCACTGCCAGCTTGCGCATCCAACCTCCACTAAGCACAATGTAACTCGTAGCATGTTACATAAGGCTCTAAACAGCTCATCGATTGGTGGAAAAGGAAGAGAGAGCATAAACAAAATCTGGACTTTGTTGTTGGGCAGCGGCTGTTCTCCACGACTTAAGTTAAAATGCTGTTGGACGGTGAGTATTCTCTACGACTTTAAGGGAGGATATTGAAAGAAGCAAAACAATCTAGTGCGTTTAGGGAGGATGGGTCGTAGGAAAGTGGAACGCACCTTTTTGGACGACGAATTCCTAGCACTACCTTACATGAGCACTTGCTTGGAAAATTCAAACCTATCGTTAGAAAATCAAAACTGCGCGTACTCATAACTGGGAAGAATGAAAACAAGCTAAAAAATCACGTGGAAAAATCTTTTATCTTGTAGCCTAAGTGCCTAAGGGGTCAAATCGGGAAGCAGAATTGAACGACAAAAGGCTGACGGAGATAAAAGTCAACACGGTTAAAGGTCGAATTACAAAAAAATCAATGGACAAAAAGCCGACAAGAATAGTCAAAAGTAAAAGTCAAGATATTAAAGTCGTTAATAAAAGTAAAAAACCCAAAATAAATTCAAAATGACGCAAACTTAAGCGACAAAGATCCGAAATCGGCAAAAACCGCCAGGAATGCAATCCAAACCAAAACACGTCACAGGTAGTCCGGTCAAAAGATAATCGGCCGATGGGGAGCCCTGCTTCGAAGACTGCAGCATAATTGCGCGATTTGATGCCTCAGTGTGTTGCAAGCAATGTGTTGAAAGCAACTTTCCTGACCTTCGAAGCATACGCCCATAGAATACAAGTGATAGATATACATCGCATGGACCGATATACATCGTATGACGCATGATATTGAAACACATTTACTGACGTGGCTTAACCGTCACATGTCTGTCGCGCGAGCAGAAACTTGCCTGGCTCCTAAGATTTCTTCTCGGAAACCAGCTCCTGTTCCGGAACCAAGAAAAACCCAGGGACAAGTCTGAAATCAGTTAAACGATCCATCAAGATCCATGATTCAGCAACGAATTGTGATCATGAAACCAGCAAGAACCAGGTCCAGCATGACACTCAGCTACGGTATCCGGCAAGAACCAAGATCCAGCTTGGATCACGCACATGGATCCGGCAAGAACCAATACCGAGCATGGATTTAGCCGAGAGATTTCGCATAGATTAAGATCCAACCTAGAACATGTCCAGAAATCAAGCAAATACCCGGGACCACGCTGAACTTCCGCCGAAGTTCCAGCAAGAACCCAAGCTCAGTATGAATAAAGCCAAAGAAACCAGTGAGGACCAGTTGTTACCTGGAATTGCAGTCAGGAGCTGGTGGGAATCTACATAGCGCACACATAGCACGCACGCTGCGCTTGTTAATGTTACGCATAAATGTGCAACCATCTTTTATTTCAGACCATTGACCTTGGCTAGTAGATAACAGCAAACTGGTAGCCCCGGGCGGGTGTTAGTTAACAAGGTAATGGGAGGCGAGAACAGGCATCTGGTGTTTTCTAATGGAATGGTTTTAAACCAAAAACCTGAGTATGGTGTTTGTGAAGAATCGGTCGGAACCATAAACCAGAGCTTGGTCTTCGTGAATGAAACAGAGGGAGCCAAGCACCAGGGGCTGGTGTTTGTGAAAGAGCTATTGGAGCCAGAAACCCTGACCAAGGAATTGAGCATTGAAACCAGACTCTGGAACGAAGAACCAGGGGCGGCGTTGGTGATAGAGCTATTGGAACCAAAACCCCTAACCCAGGAACTGAACATTGGAACCAGACGCTGGAACCAGGAACCAGGATGTGGGGTTTGTGGGAAGCCGATTGAACACGGCAACTAAGTTCTGGTGTTGCTTAAGGAACCAGTTGGAACCAGAAACCCAAATTTTTGTGAAAGAACCAGTGATCACCCTAGGCTAAGGTGTGGTATGTCCAAAAGAGCGAACGGGATGCAGGAACCAGGGAGAGGTGTTTATGAATGCACCTCTCGAAACCAGGGTCCAAGATCTCGTCTACAGTAGTGGGGAAGTGGGAAACTAGGAACCAACATTGGGAACCAGGCAAGTGTCTATCCAGAACCAGCACTAACAACAACAAAAAAAACTTGATTTGCGGCTGTACGCCGGCTCCTGCCGCGTGCACTTCTGTTGCTCGTGACCGTCCCAAGATATGGCTAAGTAGGAGAACTTTTAGGGGTGCGAAAAGAGGCTAGCAGGGTGCTCGTAGCAGGTCGGCCACCTGATAATACCTGGGTAAACTAGGCGCTTGATAGCAGATCGGCCACCTGACAGCACCAGGGCCAACTATGTGCCATGGGCATCGTTCGGCCGTGAAGTCGCGAGGGCTGGCTGTCGTCGGGAGTGTTTTTCGGATGAGCGCGGGATGGGTCAGATTGGAGGGTCCAGGGATGTGAAATGATTAAACCCATTAGGGCCACAGGCACATCCGAATGCACCAGAGTGACATTCTCCCACGCCAGGTTTCCGCACCCGATGACTCTCCTGGATTAAATCTTTTTGAATGCCTCTTTACTTACATTTATCCCAATGGACGTTTACCCATGTGGACTTTTTGCCCTTTGACTTGTTTTGCCAACCCGACGTATATCCCTGGCAACTGTTACTCTTTTCGACTTTTTGTCTCTCGACGTTTTTCTAACTGCTGTCATTGTCAACTTTGTGCTCTTTGGCTTTTCGAGATTCCGTTTTCATCCCTGCAGAATCTTAGCTCTTTGGGCTTATTTTCGTTTACGTTTCCTGATTCAGTTTTCGTTGGACTGGTTTGCCATCCAACTTCTCTGCTCCACGTTACCTGACGGTGCGACCCGCGCCGTTCTAACATCCCGTGACCCCACCACTGCCCCCAGGTCAGCGGGCAGTGTCACCCGCGCCGTTCTAACGTCGCATGACCCCGCCACTGCCCCCAGGTCAGTCGGCGGTGTCACCTGGGCCGGTCGGGCATCACGCGTCTGGCACTCGTCGGTGCCATCGTGCTCTGGACGGTCATCTTCAACGTGCTGACCTTCGGCGGCCGGGGGCCGCCGTCGCAGCCACCAAAGGACACCAGCGGCTCGCTGGCGCACGTGCGCCAGATTATAGCTGACACGCTGCGGGCGGCTCCTGTGACCTCTGTGCGGTCGGTCGCCCCGGCGGTCCGCTCGGCTGCGTACGGTGGCCACGAGCCGCTCAGCTGCTTCACGTGAGTGCTGATCTAGGCCCCGCCGAGGGCCCGAGCGTGGCGGCCACTCCAAACACTGGACGAAACGAAGGGAGGAAAGAGGGCCGCGGAGAACGGCACCGTGAGCATGCTGGGGTGTGCGTGACAATGCGGTGTCTAGTCGCCGTGTCCCGACGTTGTAACCTTGTCATCAAGGCAACGTGGCTGCGTCCAGTGGGAGTTCGCAGCATCGGTGTTTAGGTGCAAAGACATCTGCTGGTATTGGTCCAAATGCCGCCTGCATATACCGTGGCGTCTACTCCCTGGGAGCTTCCACCGGCTTTATTTCCAATAAGATATAGCGACGGTATTAATCTAAGTAGCCCATCTGTCCGTAAATAATATCTAAGACCTGCCGACTTAAATTTGTCAGTTCAAAATTAGTACTTTGAGGACTAGTGATGGAAGAAATCTGGAGCGAGGGTAAAATCACGGATAACATTTCAACCCCAACAGCGGTATTTTTCGGCAAGGCAAGACACCTCATTAAATTTTTGCAACGTAGGAAAATCACGATTAGTCCACATCGACGAGATCATGCTGAGCATTAGCGCCATAATAGATAAGAATCATCGGCATTTTTTTCATGGCAAAGTTAGCTCTGGTTACCAACGACCGATCACCTCACAGTTTAATGTAAATCCCTGATGTATGTCATACGCATTAGTTCGGCCGACAGCTTCGTGCGTATAGCTTCTCTAACTCTTACTACGGTCGTCCTATGTAGTGTTTCATGCCATTTAAAGCTTTATTATGGCATTAGTTATTGATTATAAATATCGATTAATCATGCCAGCAAGTGCAACATACTGATTGCGAAATAGATACACCATCAATGGAACTTTCGATTCCTATGTTGTGGACCGACATTGCTGTTTAAGGCATATGTAATTCGCTTACGCTCACATCCTGAACTTTCAGCGGTGAACTTCAGCGTCGAAAGGCTATATTAATTCCGCAATGATTCGTAACGAACGTTCCCTTGTCATGGCACGCATTTGATATCATCTTACAAGTCATCACTTCGTGACTGAACGTCCCAATACACATGTGTTGTGACGGCGCGGTCTCTGACAGTGAGATCATGGATGTGTAACTTCCAGACGTGCGTCATTTCCGGACATGTCTCGTTTCAGGGATGCCTCAACATCGGAGCAGCGCTCGTTCAACGAGTCGGAGCAGGCCATGTTCCGCTACCTGTTTGACTGGCCCGAGGTGCCCACCAGCTCGTGCAAGCGCATGATCAAGTTTGGCGGCATCGCCGGCGGACAGAACTGCCTGGTAGACGGCGACAAATACGCCTGCCTAGACCCGCCCCTGAAGCTGGCAACAGCCACCGACTGCCTCGTCTACTCCTTCGGCATCAACTACGACTGGAGCTTCGACGAGGCCGCGGAGCGGTTCGGCTGCGAGGTGCACTCGTTCGACCCAAGCATCGACTACCCGGAGGGTGCGCGGTCTCCGGGCATCACGTTCCATCACTTTGGCATCGGCCGGAACAACCACTCCAACGTGTACGGCTGGCAGATCTACACGCTGGACGAGATCGTGACGCTTCTCGGCCACGAGAACCGCACTATCCACTACCTGAAGATGGACGCCGAGGGCGGCGAGTTCGACATGATGGCGCAGCAGCTGTTGGACGGCGCCGGCGAGTTCGTGCTGGACAAGGTGGAACAGATCGGCTTCGAGATCCACTATCGCCTCGACCCTCGGCTCCAGATGAGCTACTACCTGGAGGCCAACGAGACGGTGACCTACCTGCGCCAGCTCGGCTTCAACATGGTGCAGTGGGAATACAACAAGGTGGTGTGGCAGCGGTACATGTTCCCGGGCGTGGAGCGACCAGTCAGCCTGCTGTACGAGATCCTGCTGGTTAAGAACGGTGTCGACTCCTGGGACCGGTCGATCCGCGGCCGAAAGGAGGCGGAGGCGGCGGCGGCGGCGGCAGCGGAGGCAGAGGCCGAGGCTGCCGCCCAGGCCGAGTCCGCCAGCAAAACGTGATTGCTGCAGGCTCGGGCTCCCCGCTGTCCAGCCTCAGTCACCGGTCGGGTCGCAGCTCGCTTGGACTGCTGCTCAGTTGCACGGGCCGTACTCGTCAGCGTCCGCCCGTCGGCTGGCGTCGCCGCCGCGGGCGGTGAAGGCGTACCTGTGTGACAGATAGTCGACGTCACAGCCCTGGTGACAGGTGACGAGCGCCACAGGTCCGACGGCACGTGAGAAGCAGATGTCATCACCCGATGACGGATGACAGAACGACCAGATGGTGACGGCCGACGGAATAAGTGCCCTAGTGTAGGGCGTACCACGGGGGAGGGCGTCCTACCCCTTAGTGGGAAAACCGGGGCAGGTATTTTTGCCTGGCATCTGCCTGCAAGCTTGTAGACTGGACAAAATTGAATTCGCATGGTGCACATTCTATCTCCCTCGAAGTTTCCGAAGATATGTGATCAACATCGAGGACTTGATTCATTTTGTCCTGCCCCACGTGCCCTCAGGTAATACAACATTGATTCATCGCAGCGGATGTAGTTGAAAGTTGACGCGGAAGCGGACAACGGGAAAAGAACAGCTTGTTACCCACGCGAACGTACGATTTATTTGTACTATCAGGGGGAAAGCTTTAAGCATCCCAGTGAAGGCTCTGATGTGTTTTTACTATGAAGCCTTGTTGATTTTATAGTGCGTGCATTGGCAGCTGACGTGGTTCCCTAGAAGTGGTTTGTGATAAATTTATCGCGAAATATATTACCGCGACGAACTCGGTATCCCAAGAAAGCGACCTCGCAATTTATAACACGGGTATGCAAAAGGGTGTATTCATTTGTGGGTAAAAACTATGGACAATATGCGCTACATGTTGTAAAGCACGCGATGCCGGCACGTGACCGGCAGCTTGATGATTCCAGACTTGCGAGTACGACCAGTGTAGAATGATCCACCACGCACACCACGACAATAACTTCGCAGGGTTTGGGGAACTCAAGTAGTCGATTTTGAGAAAACATTTGTGCGTGCACTTTGACATGCATCGGTGATTTTGAGCGATAGACGATCACTGCATTTAGGTCGGTTACCGTAATGAAAAATTACCACCAGGACTAAATGCCAGTGATTCTATAAGAGACGCCTCTTTAGCCCTGAATGTTTTTCTTACCAGGGTTGCAGTTTTGCTGCATGACAATCACGACTTACGCGGAAATCCCCATATGCTGCCCTTGTGTCAAAGTGCAGGAACATGCACAGCACAAGTTTTTCACCGAGGCTAGGCGCATGCACTGATCGATGAGAAGAGCCAGCCACCGCTCACTTCCCTTGCGTGACTCGCAATCGAGCACGGTAGGATGGCGGACTGACTCAGCACCAGCTCGCTCTGCCGAAGCCGCCGAGCGCCGCCGGAGCGCCGCACGCCGGCGTGACGCTCCCGTTCGCGCCACAGGAGAGTGGGTCGCACGGTGACGGGGAACAACAGCTACCAGGACAGCCATTGCTGCCAGCAGCTCTCTCTTCCTCTCTCTTCAGCCGCCAGCTGACAGGCGGGCGAGGCCGGGCAGCCAGGCTGAGCCAGCGCCAGCGCCTCCATTCGCAGGTGTTCACAGGCCGAGCCGCCGGCCCCGGGCGTCGTCCTCCATTATGGCCGCGGTAACCCAGTGACACACATCGCGCCTCACACGTGAGCATCCGCTGAACTGCGATGGCCATGGGCAGGTCGACAGGCGTAGTCGAAGCTGCGAGAGGCAGCAGACGAGCGTCGTGGGCTGCCCCACGGCCTTCCTTCTCCTGTTGACGTTGCCCAGCGCGACTGGACCTCACTGCGTTGACTTTATGCTTGTGACAGTTGCTTATGGCAACAGTCTCAAGACTTATCATCGCCGTTGCAGCTTCAAATGTCACTGCCGTCGTGACGATTCGCGGAACAATGCAAAATGTTGGATTGTTCACCAGTGGACTATCAGAAATCTTAACCATGGGCGAAAAAAAAACTAGTCGAACGCGTTGGTTAAATCGTAACGCAAAGCAGCGAGCTCGTTCCTGACAGTAGACTAGCACGCTAAGAAACTGTTGTTTCTATCGTCTGACGGTTCACACGTGATTCTTAGATGTTTCTTTCAGTTCCATTATGTTCGCTTGGCTTACAACCGCCGAAGGCTTCGACGAACGACAATTACCCGTCAGATTGGCTTTCACGGGTAATCCCAACTGATGATCATGCGAATTCAATAGTAGTTACCATGTCGCCATCATTCCTTCAGTGAGGCCAAATATGCCTCTAGGTCACGTAAATACGTAGCAGGCTGTTCGTAACGGGTTCCCGGGCCGGCTTTCAGTCCGTCCGGTCAGCGTTTAACCGACACGGCCGGCTGTATTCACGCCTCCGGGTCACTGACCACGTGACCTGGCCGCTGTCGCGTGTGCGAGCCAGACAGGTCCGAGATTTCGGTCCAAGACGGTCCGGTGCGGCCGGGTGTTATGTTGGTTCAAGGGAGCTGACTGTGAATGCAAGTGACCGAAGTGAACAGGGCTACAAATATATCCCGGGATTCAATGGCTGCTTCCTGGACACCACTTGGTCCGGGAACTAGGACCCAATTTCGCTCTTTATGGAAAGGTCTGGTCCTCTTGGGTCCATGACATACTTCCGAGTTTTTCTGGGGGACTTTTTGGGACCTTAGACCATTTATATTGTTCAGCCAATGCACTTTTTAAAAAAATCTTGGGGATATTCGTGAAACGGTGCCGAAAGATTATTTTATCCCAAATGCATCCGAACTTGTATTAAAAAATCGCCAGGCTAGGGCACGCAAAGTTATGTACTAAAAAAGCATCATAAAGTTAGACCGTGATAGAATGAGCCATCCAATTATCTAAGTTTAAGCTCCTGAGCTTTATTAGACTGACACCATGATATCTGTTACGAATCTGCCATGACATGCCAATCACTACGAAAATCTTGAATAATCATAAAGCTGGATGACTACGGATTAGCACACTGCAAGGCTAAACACATCCCTTTCTGTGAAATTCTACTTTGCTGAAACATCTCCGGAGAAAAACGATTTCCTTCCGCTTAGTTTAATTGGAAATGCACTTCTTCAGTGTTGGACACAAAACGAGCAAAGCATGTGGCGTTTACAGAAAATAGGACACATGATATCCTGCAGCAATAAAAAGCATAGGGTAAAGCTCTTACCCAACGGTTTTCAGTCTCCCCGCTGCACGCCTGCAGATGCCAAATTTCTGGAAAACTAATCAGCAGCCGCCCTTTCACTGGCAAGCCTGAACACAGCGCACCAAATCACGCCACACGACATTCCGTGACGACCCCATGCCATTTTAGCAGCTGAGAAGGTGCATGACAATAGATGAAGCGCCTCCACTCCAAGCATGCTGCACAGGCCAATGCACTTCCCACAATACTAAACCATGGATATTTAACATTAGACACGACTAGCTGAATAGCCACCATCGTTTGCACTCCACTGCACCTAACCTGTTCCCGAAATCATCTAGACGCGATCACCATGGCTAGATATGCAGCGTCGCCATCATGTCCGCACCACGTTGCACACTGCCGCCGCCGGGTCCTATGAAGGCGTCATCCGCACATTACACGGCAACCACAGCAACACCTGCGCCCAGCAACTGTCTTCACGACGCTGTTGCAACGTACCCCGATGTAAAACGCAGTGGGGCGAAAATAGCACGCTAAGACAACGTCGCAGCGACGTAGTCAGTTTACTTTGCTAACAACAGAACGGGTGAATTTAAAGCTACTTACACCTGGGTCACTCCATTTTCCGCCATGCAATCGCATTTACATATCTAGTAGTTGGTATATTTGTGATTACGTATTCACGCATATTTGTACCATCGCATTTACATCGTCTTTATATGAAGTTTGAACAGGTTAAAAGATTACACAACATACTTTCTAAGAGTCACACGGGTCAGTGCATCCATGACCACCACGCGGGTTATTCCAGGTTTTATTTACTCCAGAGTCCATTGCACCTGTTCTGGGTCAGGTTGGGATGAATTCCTCGTAACACTGGTTCTGAGTCGAAATCGGGGCGAGAGCCTATAAAACCAGTCAGTCGAATTGAAAATAAATGTAAGAAAATATCTGCATCAACAGAATGACAGCTGATATATGTACCAAATAGGGGCGCCGGTAGCGTGGTGGTTAACGCGTCTGCGTTATCACTACGCGTCTGGGAAACCAGAGATGCGGGGTATGATTCCCCGCGGTGTCTGCCCTTCCTGCCAGGGTGAAAGGCAGGTGACGCCATATAGCCTAAGCAGCGGACTGCGTCGTAAAGCTCCAATGGCACACCTATGTACCAAATACCTCTCGTTGATAATCAGTATGAAATGCGTGCATCAAATAACCTTTTAATAGTTCGCCAGAGCACTTTGTCATAAGCTGCTGTCTGCAGAACTGACTTCATCTGGCTCGGTTACAGCATCGAGCCTTTTCTTTCGGGTCAGAAATTGAGTCGACTCAAGTTGAAGTTGGGAGTTGGAACTGTTACTCGGAGTCAAAGTTGGAAGTAACTCCAGGGACCGCGGCTCTGAGTTGAAATCTCATGTGCAAGTGCGGAATAAAGCTCGAGTATGGTATTAATATCGGAAACAGTTTCTCCTCTCCGGCCATTCAGAGATTTACAATGTTTTTTTTCTTGTGTCCGTGAATTGGCATTGGCGACATAGCCCCGTCTGCACGTTTGTTTTTTACATGTCTGCACACCTCATTTTTCAGCATCTCGCGCGCAGCGTGAGGAAAAACGAGGGACGGGCACGGCGAGCTTCTCAGCTGGGATTTCGATGAGCCACGCAAATGCTTGTATCCCCCCCCCCCCCCAACACGCACACCATCGCACATCCGACTGCGATTTAGGGTGACACCCACTCGGGCCACACCCGCGCGGAGCCGCACCTCGTCAAGTAGGCCGCACGCGGTCGCCAACGTGCCGGCGTCTAGAGATGGAGCGCGCCTCGCCTGAATACCAGTATGTATTTCGAGCAAAAACGTGCGGCTCATGCCAAAACCATGGGCGCACCAGCTGTGGAGCCGCGCAAGTGCGTTTCGTGGCTCCAAATATTGACGCAGGTTTAAAGCGCACAGGCTCCGAAGTCTTCTGCCGTGTGTGTGACCGTAAGAATGGTCTCGTCTTCGTCTACACATACACGGCACGGAGTGGTATGGAGCTCGACTCCCGTACCTCTCCGCAGGGCGATGACGTCAGGTATCCCGATGATGACTGAGGTGTTTCGCTATGGCACATCAGGTGCGTGACCATCAGAAGCATTGGCACACTCAGCCAGCTACCACAGCCGAGGGTGGCCAAATCAAGTGAGCTGGTGTTAGCACTCGTAAGGGAGGAGGAGGGGGACACTGCGCGTTTTAGCTGGGTCCGCACCTAAAACATTGCTAATTGTGCATCTACTAGGAAGCTCACCTACAAACTAGCGTAAGTGCCGGTTAATCAGGTGTTCCAAATGTTCTATTGCTATACGATTGGTGAGAATAAATAACGTTGTGGCTACTGCATAAATATCTCATCAGTCAGTTTTTTGGGCAACGTAGGGCATCGCTGCTCTGGACGTGGAAAAACACTTTTTATTACCATGAGGCACCAAGTGCCTTATTGTAATACCACATCACTGTCATATAATTTTTGTTTGGAATCTTGATTCAGGGGCCTGGGCACCAGGGGCTTCCCTGCGCCGCTATCAGCACCTGAACACCGTTTCGAGGAG